TTTTCCCCAAGGGATAACATATACAGCACCTAGTATACGGAAAGGGCTGTGGAGGGGAAACAGTAAATCCTGCTCGGTGTCGGGACAACAGGAGCCTGTCCTTGTGGTTTTGAGCTCTGCTTCAACCAAACGCTTCTGAAACGAGGCTTCATGCAGGCACCTTTGGGTATGTGCAGGCCGTGGGAGCCCTATCCCTCTCTGGGGTCTCGGTGTCCATGCAGCCTTTGAGCTCACTCTGGGGTTGCAGCAGCAGTTTCTTAAGTGTTTTTTATGGCCCATGAAGGAGCACAATCCCGGGCTCATCCTGGTCCTTGGCCTGCCCCCGGTGCTCCAGTTGTGCCTGCACAGGGATGTCCAGCAGCACTCAGCCGGGGAAGCCCTGTCCCGTCCTGCCTCTGTGAGTGTTGGCAGTGAACAGAGTTCATGAGTGTTTCTTTTCGGTGCTTTCTAAGTCAGGGGTGGCTTGCATGCCGTCGCGAGCACATCTTGGAAAATCCTTGTTTTGATTTGTCTCGTTGCTAGATTCTTAATCTTGCGACGCTGTTTCAAAACGCAAGCAGGCTATTTCATCAATGAGTGTTGTCATGTCATGCAAGAGTGGAAATGAGTTTTGCAGAAGGAAAGTCTGGGTGCATAAAGGAAGCTACTGCCAGCCTTTTCAAGCAAGATATCAGCATTCATTTAGCAATATTAAAGAGCAGCATTGCTGTTTCTCACATGTAAGACGGGGAATGTTTACCTAGCCATCAAAGGGAGGTTTGGAGTTGTGACAGTGGGAATTTATCTTGAGGTACAAATAGAATCAGGGCTACCCCTGGCTTTGCAACAGCAAAGCATTTAATTAGGGTCCAAACTGTGAAGCTGTGTTTAATAGCTAGCGGGTGTCTGAGCTGCAACCAGCCTGTTTGAAGCTTAGGGAGCTGCGTGTGAGCTCCAGTCACACCTTGGGGTTGCAGGGAAGATGTAATCACAGAGACCTCAGCGTAAACTTCCCTGCGCTGCATCCCTGCCGCGTCTGGGCAGACAGGCGGGCGCAGCTCTGCCCCGGCTGCTTCGCGCCGTGTTTGAAGCTGAGTGTGGCTGCAGGCTGCAGGGAGAGACGCGTGGTAGGAAGGTGCCTGGTGCATTTAATGGCTGTGGAACTAGGACTCTGCTCTCCCTGCGTCCACCCTGAGGAGCTGATCCCTGAGCACCGCCTGGGAATCGAGGCATTTCAGAAGGGTAAAATGCCTTGGAAAGGAGGAGAGGCTGCACGCAGCAGGGAACGGAGGAAAAATAGGCTTTAGTGTGGGATTTGCTCTTGCAAAGAGCAAGAGGGGGCTAAGGGAGCTCTCCCGAAGGTGCTTTCAAGCTGCCGAGGGCATAGGTGTTTGCTGTGAGTGCCCAGCGCGTATCGTACACAAAGCTGTAGGCTGGTTCCTTTAAAACACGTTGTTTTCTCTTCACTAAAAGATGCCCTTAAATGCATGTGCTTTTAAAGGAGATAGCTGGACTTGAGCAGTCATGTTATTGCACCCACTAAGAGCATTTGGAGGAGATGCTGGTGCAAGGCGTGGGCTGCCTTCGCCCTTTCTGTAGCTTTGCACCCTGGGCCCAGCTTGACGCTGTTTTTTAACCTGCCTTTGGAAGAAGCCTGAAATCAAAGCCTCATGTTTTGTTGTGGTGAGTGGAAAATGGGGAAAGGGGAAGCTTTTTGCTTTGGAAATTGTGATTTCCTTGTGGCTTAGCTTACAAACACAGGAGCCTAGCATGGTGGCTCTTTATGTGAAAACGTAGCATTTTTTAGCTGCAGAGCACTAGTTTCATAGTAATGTTAAATATAAACGGTACCAAAGGCACTTCAGGCATTTAACCTGCTCTAGGTAATGCTGTTAAGTGATGGGTAACACAAGAAACATCTGAACTAAGTTGACCACCTGTTCAGAGCAGCTTTTTTCCATATATCAGATGGCCTTCCAGTCCTGCAGCTCTTGTTTATTGGTAACTCAGGGGAGCAGCACCAAGTCTATCTAGGCAAGCAACCCTTGTCGTGCACCATCACCTGCCTCCCTGTTTGAAGGAGCCGTGCACTTCCAGGAAAGCTCTCCGCTCCTAATCAAACTATTTCCTTTAAATCAGAGATAACGTAGGTCATAAAATGTGGACCTGGATTCCATATGCCTCAGAGTCAGGTCTTTTGTGTTCACTGCTTGTGAAAGGGCCGTTAGAGAATTGGGAGGTGACAACACGCTGGCTCCTGAGCCACATCTGGGAGCCCTCTGACACGGTAGGTAGATAAGGTCGGTCACGTTCTTCTTCCCCACTCGCTTGCCGTTCCTTCCCTATCTAACACTCCACACCCAAGACCTTTTATCCTCCAAATGGCTTCTAAAGCCTTCTTCATCCATGGTGCCCGCAAGAAGCTGATAACTGTCTCAATGTCTTTGTCAGGTACTTAGATACCACAGCTGTGTGCCCGGAGAAGTAACCTAGATAGAGCTGAAGGAACTAAACCCACAAGCAATCCCAGTCATTCCACTGTCTGTGTTTCCCAATATGGCCTGTGTTGCTTTCCCAACACATCCTGTCTCTGTGCCCATCTTGATCACTGCTGCAGGTGAGGTGCTGCCTGCGTTTCGTCCTGTGCGGTTCCAAGCTTTGTATGAGTACTGATAGAGTCTAGTTCACCTGGGAACTTGGGGAAGGTGGCTCCATGTTTCCTACATGTTTGTCTTGCACCAAGGATGCCAAGGGTGGTTTAGAAATCTTAGGTGATGCCACCAATGTGGGAGCATGTAATCAGAAATCATCCCAAGTGGCCGCCAGCCTTGCTGAGAGGTGTCTCACGATGGGTGGCTCCTCACTCTTGGTGGCTTATGGCTGTTCTCAGCTCCTCCTGAGACGCAGGTAGGGATTTTTGGATTAGAAAGGCTTTGGAAGCTCGTGTGGTGGCTGCATCAGGTGGTTTTGATCAGTGAGACAGCCGGGAGCACATGTCTGGGAGCAACGTTATCATCGTCTGGAGCCTGGCTCCGGCCCGCTCTGCCTTCTCAGCATCTGAAAGTAGAAGAGAAAGTCCGAAGCTCTATCATTTTATGTATTCTGCTCTGGTCTATCATTGCTTAATTGTATCCCCAAATCTTATTAAAGTTCTGGGTGAGTCACTGCTACACTCAGGTGAAAATAAACTGAGCTGAGCAAAGCTTAGGAGGGGAGGAGTGTTTCCGTGTGAGCAGGGAAGCTGCTGCAGCTCAGAAACTCCTATCTCTCCATGCACACGTTGCATCATCTGCTTCTACTGCCTCTAATTTAATGTTCTAATCCCATATCAAAACACCTGAGTCCAAAGAGACTAAAACATAACCTTATGTGGAGTAGTAAATTCATGCCAATTAGACATGCAGAGCGCTCTGAATCACTTGAGATCATCTTCCACCCTCACACAGCACCTATAAATGTGCTGCTAGGGTGCACAGACCATCCACAGCACCCACCTCTCCCTCACCAGGAAGAAGTTTTAGGCTTAGTTCACTGTGGCTGTACCTCAGTGCCCTAAATATATTTTGTTTATGGCTATTACAATTCCATCTTGTAAAAGCACATTACGATCACTTGCAAAGAAAAGCACTGTGGAACTGCAAAGACACTGTCACTCAACTAGAGAATTTCTTCACGGTGAATGGAAAGACCTTCTCCTGTGTAGGCACTATTATCATCTCTTGCTGTCGCTCTTCTGGTTTCTGATGCAAATCTGAAAAAATCTTCTTTCTGAGGCTATGTTTTCTATCACATCTTAGTCTCTTAGCAGAGTGCCTCTCTAGCTTTCTGGCTGGCAACATGCTGCCCTGGGGAATGGGGGAATCAATCCCCCATTCTGAAAGAAGAATCCCGAGCCATCTCTCCTCTGGGTAAGCAATTCCAGCCCTCTGAGAACGGGGTTGGGGGAATTGCTGTTTGTGGGCACATCCTAGGATAAAAGCTGTCCTGAAAGTTGCCCCAGTCAGACGGTGCCTTGCAAGGTTGTCCTCTTGCTTTTTTCTTTCAGTCTCCTTTTTCTTTTTTTTTTTTTTCCCCTTTAGTTGTATAAATTTGTGCCTATTTTCCTGGCATTGTACCAGAGGCCTTCTGGGAACAGTTGTTTCTGGGTCTTTTATCTCTCTGCTTTTGTCATCCGGGCTGATCCTGGCAGTCCCAAAAGCTAAGATATTTATGGTGAGTGAGATCAAATTTGTGCTTAGCTGATTCTTGTGACCCGCAGTTATAAACAGATTGCTTTGGATAACATTTCAGATGAAATTTTGAACAGGAGCTGAACTTTTATGGGTGCTCAATATAGGAGAACATTTTTCTTTATTTTCTCTTTTAACAAAAGAGACCCACATTTCCTCAGTTCTAGAAAAGTCAATAGGTCCAGGTATAGGACCTATTGGTCAAAAACCTATGAATTTTGCCTATGCCAATTAATATATTGGGGGGTTCAGGGAAGAAAGGTGGTTCGTGTTGATTCTGCTTGTACTTGTTTTAAACTGGAGTGTTTGGTCACTTCCCCACCTTTACTGAGCTTCTATTTAAAAAGTCTTTCCCTCATTGGTTTGGGAAAGGAGAATCTTCCGAGACCTGGTTAGGAAAACTCCCATCTGCTTCTGAGCTTAAAATCATATTTTCTCAAAGCAATTCTGTTAAAGCTAGACTTGGGGGCCGTTTAATTTATCCAGCTTGTTGAGCCATTTGAAGCACCTAAGGTTTCCCTATATTTTTGTACAATAACAAATACTAAAGGTCTGGATTCTGCAATATTGTTGTAGAAACCAGGTTCTTATTTGAGAACCAAGACTGGTTCTTCATGTGTGTGGATTTAGTTTAATGGGGTTTGCCTTTACGGAAGAGAAACCAATGTGGAAACTTGAGAAGTTGCAGGTCTAAAGTACTGGCATTTGAGGCTTTGCTGATGCTTCCCAAAGACAGGGAATGCTCTTCAGAACCTGAGGGAACTGAATTTCTTCTCTCTGTCTTCCTCGCAGGTGTGTTACTAGACATCCAGCAGCACTTTGGAGTCAAGGACAGTGGGGCTGGCTTGTTACAGACAGGTAAGTGGGTTTTCTGCCTCATTTTGTAACCTTGTTGTTTTCAGAAGGGTGCTTCCAAATTTCTTGAATTGAATTTAGGCTACTCTCCTTTGGACATGTTTGCTGGGAAATATTTTCTTATTAATAAGGTGAGTGACAGCAAGGGGACTTTTTATTTTGATGGTGGGCAGGAGATGATGGCTGAGAATGAACCTAATGCGGAATGGGCCAAGAGCAAATAACTTACATAATAATATATATTATTATGATTGTTATTATGATAACAGATCTTTGTGGAGAGTTGAAATCATTAGTCAGAGAGCAAATGCAGTGTTTTAAGGAGAGAAACAATCTGCTTTGGAAACATCCTTGTGAATTACGAGTGGGAGTTGTTCAAGTGTGGTGCTGTTGTTTCCTGCCTTTGTACTTCTGTCCGTGGAAGCCACCCTGGAATGACTGTATCTCTGGAAAATAGGATTAGAAGTAGTGTGCCAAAAAGATATTTTTTTCCACACATCGTCTCTTTTGCTATCACGCTGGATGCCAAATTCCAGTCAACAACTCATTCCCAAAGCGATAGCCAACAGAAACGTGCTCTGTCTTTGTGGCCCACTGGAGGCTGGCACAAAAGTTTCAGAGCTGTGTCATTTGTTCTTTGATCTTGGACTATGTGAAATGCTGGAGTGTTTCCTCTTTTTTAATTTTTGTTTTTGTTTTTAATTTATTTTCAGCAACGCCTAGAACAGGACGGTTCTCATATGTGCCTTTCTAGCTTCCTGCAATGTTGCAATACAGATAATCAATAATAATCTGCATAAGAGCTTTAAAATATTCCTGGTGCCATTCCAGTGGCAGTAGTAGTTCCTTTAATCTAACAACCTTCCCATTGCTCTTTGCTTCCTAACTGTGCAGGCTGGTTCTCACAGATCCTGGGGGAAAAGCAATTCCCAAGATGTTAGAGGGCCTCCTTGTCAGGGATGGTGGTAAAAAATGCTCTGAAACTTGTTGGATTTGGCCCTTTGTAGTCTCAGCCTTCAGCCCAGTTGAGGAAGACTCTGTCTGCTGCCCTCCTCATGGAGTGGCAGAGTGCAGGCTGATGTGTCCAGAGCACAGACTGCGACCTTTACAAGTGTCACTGGTGAGAGGTAACATCGGTCATCATGCCCACAATGGCACTGGTGTCTGGCAGGCTCTTTCCTACAACAATTATTTGTACTTATTTATTGGGCTCAGAGGAATAGATCCTCAGTGTATTGTTAGATGCCAAGTGGCTGCAACAAAATATTCTGGTGGAAAATGACACTTGCCAAATCGTATGTTTAATCTTCTTTCCCCTCAGTGGATGAAAACCTTCTGTAGATGATTTACTGACAGCAAGTAAGAGCTCAGCTCCAATAGGGCATTTCATTTGTTAATTGCATGAAATGTTATTTATTTCTCTAGAGAGCAACCAGGGCATCTGAAAACAGCTTCACTGAGGTCTTGCAAGGCTGCTGCAGTGTGTGCCCCGAGTTTTGTAAGAAATGTTACTTTAAGAAAAGCAGCATTTTCTCATGTTTTCTGCTGATCTAAATGCTTAGGGCTTGACTTTGCCCCTGCAATATAGATAATAATGCATTAATCACAGCACCATCAGTCACAGGAAACGACTGCTCACAAAATAAAGCACCATTTTGGGTAAATAAGGGTAGGGGCACTTAAGAGAAAACAATTGTATTACTTGGCCTGACAAGATTGCAATTGGCAATGCAAAGCCATACGCCCATGGCTTATGTAGCTTTAACTCTGCATAAAACTTACACCAACTTAATATCACTTCTAATCTTATATCTGTTCTCTATGTGTGACCTCTCTAAATGTGCCCATTGGAGAAAATGGATGTAGATGAGATGTGTAAAAGCAGCTTGAGCAGAGCTTGACCAGAAGCCTGTGGTAAAGTTGGGGCCAGGTCTCCCAGACATCTGCCTTAACCTTGAACTGGCCCTTTCCAAGTAGCAGAGACAGAAATATCATCTCCTTCCCAGGAGATGGTCCTGCTAACTAATTGAGCGATGTGAGACGAAAGGCTGTTGATCCCTAATATGTCCTCTGAATAAAGAGTGGATTAGTCTTCAGGTTGTTAATCTTGCATCTAAATGAGTCCTAAATTAATTTACAATGTTAATGAGGGTGAGTAAAAATAATGTAGTATTCACTGTTAGTTCACATCACTCATCAAACAGGCATTAAAAATAGTAAAGAAGATCCTTTTAACTGAGAAACAAGGCTGCACACGGTGCTTTAAGAGGAGATGGTGCTGAAACCTCAAGCAGCAAGGGAGAAAGAGATGGAGCAAAGGCAACGTATGCCCTGGCATTCCTGACGTGATCTGTTCTTTGCAGACACAGCCCGTCTCACAGCTCTCACTACATGCACACATTCAAAAGCCAATTCATGCACTGCAGCTTCTGCTGCTCTCCACAAAGCAGAGGTAACCAGTTTCTTCGGAATTGCAAAGACAGAATTTGAATTTGTGTCTTGTTCTGCACTATTCCCAACATACAAGCTGCTATTTGCCTAGGAGGTGTAAGGAAAACTGGTTAGAGGGGCACTTTAACTATCTGTTTAGTAAAATCACAGCCACACTCCAGTCTCATCCATAATGGAAAGGAGCAGAATGTGGCAGTCTCTGTAACAAGGATCCTGTGACAGCAAAGGACACATTGACAGATGGGCCACAATTGCTGCTTGCTCACTAGCACTGTAGAGTTAACAGGCATATAACTGTGTTGACTTTGGAGCTTCAATTATCTCTTAATGATGCAAAAATTCTCTGTTGATCTTGATTTTTTATGTACTACATGCATAGTTGTATAAATGACAGTAAAGTTCACTTAACTAGACTACAGTTGTACATCCAAACTCTCTGTATCATCTTGTTGCTTTTCATTTCTTGGTTGCTTTTCCCAGAAGGAGAAAGGATGATGCTGGCTGATATCAAGAGATGATCAAGCATCTTCTTGTCTGCTTGAGCTGCACAGCTGTAATCAGTCAATACTGTTATAAGCCAAACCATTCAAAAAGTAGTTGCTTTGTGTGGAGCTGGACAGGAGCAGCCAGTTCAACCTGGAAAAGCTAGAGCTGAGACATCAATAAAACACAAAGATTGGGAGGAGGGAGAACTGGATTTATAAAAGTACTTCAGATTAGTCTTATTGAAATCATACTTCTTCCTGTTTATACTTAGACTGTAGGAGTGGTGACCCAATGTTGCACTTCGGTTTTCCCTGTTTTTTTTTTCCATTCTTTCTGCATTTTTTTTTTTTATCTCTTTGTCTGCTTTCCTTACCTTTGGATGTATTTTGCCTTTGTGTCTCTTGCTGCTGTCTCTTTAGCAGAACAGAGCTCTAATAAGAATAGTGCCTGGCTGTCCATACAATTTGTCCTCTGTAGATCTCCGGATATTTTATATAGGAGGGATAATGAGGCTTGCCCTTTTCTGCAGATGGGGTTGCTAAGAAAGCCAGATGGGAGAAATGACCTGCCCAAAGTCACACAGCAGGCCCGAGGCAGAGCCAGAATGAGAATTATGGTCTGACTTCTGAACACACAGTGTTCAAGCACATCAGACCTGGAGATTTGTTCCTTGTTATTGGGCCCACTAATCTCACCCAGGCAGCTTGGGCTCACGGGAAGGTGACTAAAACAGGGGGGACTTTTGAAAGCAGAGACTGAGCCATTGAGGGGAGGTTAGGACAGGTATTCCATTGAAATGCAGAGGGAAGAGGTGTCTCTCTCCAGAGAGAGCACGAGGTTTAGCATTAGAGGAAATGTTGGTAAGCTAAAGTTCATGCCATTAAATCGGAAAGAAGGAAATATAAGGAATGGAGAAGGTCTTTTTAAATATGAATCATCACAGATATGTGGGGCTCTGAAAGAATCCTTCCTGCATGGAGAGCAGTGGGCATTCAGTCCCTGCTTTTCCTGGGAAGCCTAGGAATGCTAGGGACTTTCTTAAGTCTTGTCATGGGCTTATTTTTCCTGTAAAGGTCAAAACCTGCGTTCATCTTAAAAGCGAAACCTTTACCCGTCTGAGTTCTCCATCTGCTGACTCTACCTAGTGTGTTCTTGCAAACATGTTTGCAGCAACTTCTTACATCAGAACTCCTCCTGCGGCTCTTGTATCTCGGGTGTCTGGATCTGGATCCATTCTGTGTGTCCAATGCCATTGCGGCCCAGGAGGCAGGACAAAATGCTTGGCAGTTGTTGTTTGGTGTTTGTGACTGCAAGTGCTGTGGACAACCATTCCCTACACAGAGCAGGTCAAATGCTGTGGCCTTCTCCTTCCCCAGTCATGCTAAGTGCCCCTGACTCCGGGAGACTTCTCTGCAGCTTTTGGACTCTGAAGACTATGGCAAGGTGGAGATCTCTTTTTGCCAAAAGGACATATTCAAAGTCATGTAAACAAGGAGTAAAACCCTTATCCCCATTTCTCTTCTCCTGGCATGCTGCAGCATGATGCTGAGGTCTGGGGGATTAAGACCATTTGTATAGAATTTAAGCAATAAAAATGAAGAAGCCAAGCTCTGCATTCCAATAATGAGCCCGGAATAATGTTTGGGACGAGGATAACAAGGAGAACTTCTGTCTAAATTGATCCTCCCTTATTACTTGCATGCCAAACAAGTTCTTTATTTGAGGCACAGCAGGTGCTGAGGTAGAATCCATGAGGCCTTTTCTTTGCTTAGGAGTCTGAGAACATCTTAACTAATGCCTGTTTTTAATTTATGGCTGAAAACTGGCTCAGGTGGGAATCCACATACAGACTCACAGATTGAAGCCACGTGGACTTCAGATCCACGTGGACTGAAACACCATCCGTTTTCCAATATACCATCCCCATGCAGGAACATTTTGCAATGTGATTTAACAGAAGATTTGGCTGCTTTCCTCCTGCAGGCAGGTCTTTTACTTACCAAGGTAGAGCAAGCTGAAGGAGCCCGGAGCCTCTTTATTGGCAGCATAAGTCTGTGATTCCACTG